CCTTCAATAGAGGAATGGATTAAGAAGATGGGGTCCATATATACAATGGAATATTACTCAGCCATCAGAAAAGATGAATACCCAACTTTTATATCAACATGGATGGGACTGGAGGAGATTATGCTAAGTGAAAGAAGTCAAGCAGAGAAAGTCAATTATCATATGGTTTCACTTATTTGTGGAACAGAAGGAATAACATGGAGGACACTAGGAGAAGGAAGGGAAAAATGGGGGGAGGAATTGGAGGGAGAGATGAACCATGAGAGACTATGGACTCTGAGAAACAAACAGGGTTTTAGAAGCAGGGGGGATTGGTTAGCCCGGTGATGGGTATTAAGGAGGGCACATACTGCATGGAGCACTGGGTGTTATACGAAAACAATGGATCGTGGATCACCACATCAAAAACCAAAGATGTACTGTATGGTGACTAACATAACATAATAAAATTTAAAAAAAATAAAAGACCCAGAATCTCACACCGTAATAATTTCAAAATCTCCAAGATATAATCCAAAACTGTTCAACATTCAAAGAACTAGGAAAATGTGACAGCATTCTAGGTCTCAAGCAAATAATCAAAGATAATGAAGTACACAAACCCCTAGAATCCACAGAACAGACCAGAAATAGACCCCTTTAATAAACTTTATTGAAACCTTAATAAAACAATGTTTACTATGTTCATGGAGATAAAAAGCTGAACTTAAGAATTTCAGCAAGGACCACTAGTGGTGAGCATAGCATTATATATAGACCTATCAAATCACTATGTTATACACCTGAAACTAACATAACATTGTTAACTATACGTCAATTTTTAAGAATTTCAGCAACAAACCTGGAAGTCTAAAAAGTGACACTACAGGGGCACCTGGGTGGCTCAGTTGGTTAAGTGTCTGCCCTTCAGCTCAGGTCATGATCCCAGGGTCCTGGGACTGAGTCCCACATTAGCTCCCTGCTCACCGGGGAGTCTACTTCTCCCTCTCCCTCTGCTGCTCCCCCTACTCGTCCTCGCTCTCTCTCTCACTCTCTCAAATAAATTAAATCTTTAAAAAAATAAATAAAAAGTGACACTACAGATATTTTTAAAAATAGCCAATATTCCAGAACCAGAAAAATGCAGTAAAAATAAGACCTCAACTGACGAATTCAAAAACAGACTAGAAAAACGAGAGAGAGAGAGAGAGAGAGAGACTAGAAATAGAGAATTCGTGTACTGGAAGACAGATTAAAAGACATTTTCCTGAATGGCGCACAAAAAAAAAAAAAAAGATAAAAAATACACACAAGGCAAGAAATATCAAAGGTGCAACACAGTGGCCTCATTGACTTGAAAGATTAAACAGGCTTTCATCTAAAGGACTTTGCACTTACTATTTCCCAAAATGGCTACATGGCTCACTCCCTCACTTATTAGTCACTAAAATACTTCCCCAATCTCCCTATCCCAAAATACTCTCTCCTTAAGCAGTTATCATCACCATACATATATTTTTTTTATTTATGGTCTGTGTCCCTCCACTAGGATGCATACTCCTTAAGAGCAGAAATTGTTCACTGCCGTTTTCCTCAGCACTCAGAACATTTCATGACACAAAGTAGGCACTTTAAGAACTGGTGAATGAGGGGCACCTGGGTGGCTCAGTGGGTTAAGTGGCTGCCTTCAGCTCAGGTCATGGTCTCTGGGTCCTGGGATCAAGCCCCACCTCAGGCTCCCTGCTCAGTGGGGAGTCTGCTTCTCCCTCTCCCTCTGCCCCTTCCCTGGCTCACGCTCGCACGCTCTCTAATAAAATCTTAAAAAATAAAGAAATAAAAATAAAAATAAAAACTGGTGAGATGCCTGAGTGGCTCAGTTGGTTCAGTGCCTGCCTTCAGCTCAGGTCATGATCCCAGGGTCCTGGGATCGAGTCCCACATTGGGCTCCTTGCTCAGAGGGGAGCCTGCTTCTCCCTCTGCCTGCCGCTCCCCCTGCTTGTGCTCTCTCTCTCTGACAAATAAATAAAATCTTTAAAAATAAATAAATAAATAAAAATATAAACTGATGAATGAGGGGTGCCTGGGTGGTTCAGTCGGTTAAGCAAACTTAGCCTCAGGTAGTGATCTCATGGATCATAGGATCAAGCCCCACGTGGGGCTCCATGCTCAGCA